GGCAGAGGAATTGAGAGTAGGGGATTGCATTCTTGCAGGAGGGTGGGTGAGAGAAGGTGTAGTCCACCTTTCCTTGCAAACTGCACGGAATGCTACACCTGCCCCTACACCTCACCCCTCCCCTCCATTCAAGGCCCAAAGCAAGCCTTCCATATCTGTCATGGGTTCACCTGTACATCTGCCAACTTGGTCTATTATATATGTTGCTCCCTATGTGGCCTCCTCTACACTGTTGAGAACAAGCGTAGATTCGGAGACCATTTCGTACAGCATCTGCGCTCTGTATGCGACAAATGACAACACCTTCCGGTCACCAACCACTTTAACACACCCCTCACTCTCTTGGCAAGATATCCATCCTGAGCTTCCTCCAGTGCCACAATGACACCACCTTCAAACTGGAGGAGCAACACCTCATTTTCCGCCACAGGAACCTACAGGCCAATGGCCCACCCCTGCCCTTGTCCCATGTCCAATCCTCTCTCTCATCCCCCACCTCCTTGACCTGACACAACCTGTCCATCTTCTCTCCCACTTATTCTCCCCACCCATCCCACTGACCAATCCCCACCTATCACCATCCCTCCTACATTCCCCAGCCCTACCCCTCCTCAACTTCGTTCCTAGCTCTCCTCCCTGTCCCCAGTTCTAAGGGTCCCGTCCTGAAACATCGATTTTCCCACTCCTCTGATGCTGCATGGCCTGCTGTGTTCCTCCAGCTCCACAGTGTATTGTCTCAGACTCCAGCTTCTGCAGTTCTTGCTATCTCAAAGTAATGGTTAATGGATATTTTTCTGACTAGAGGAAGGTTTGTAGTGGAATTCCTCAGGGGCTGATACTGGGACATTTGCCTTTCCTGATATATACAAATGATCAAGATCTTGGAGTGTGGGCGACAATTTCAAAGTTTGCAGGTGACAAAACTTGGGAGAATTGTAAACTGAGAGGAGGATAACGTAGAACTTCAAAAGGGCTTGATACACTAGCGTAGTGGGATATAGGTAGCAAATGAAGTTCAATGTGGAGAAGTGTCAGGTGACACATTTGGGCATAAGGACCAGAGAGAGAGATAGTACCAAACAAAGGGTACTATTCTTAAAGGCATGCAGGAGCAGAGAGAACAGTTGTTAAAGTATACAGTATCCTAGGTTTCATAAATAGTAGCACAGAGTACAAGAGGAGGTGGTTATGCTGGAGATATATAGGACATTGGTTAGGCTTCAACTGAAGCAGTGAGAACAGTCTGCTGTCTTAAGAAAAGGCGTGAATGTATCAGGAGAGAAGGCAGAAGAGGACTACGAGAATGGCTCCAGGTATAAGAAACTTCAGGTTAGTGAAGTTGGGACTCTCTTTGGAGTCAAGACAGGAGAAATTTTTCAAAATCAAGAGGAATCTGGGCACAGAATATAGGAAGAAAATATTCCCACTCAAAAAGATCAAGAACCATAAGGCATTGTTTAACCATGTTATGCAAAAGAAACAAAAGGCAAGATGAGAAAGAACTTTTTCTAGTGTTAAGTGTAAGCATGTAATGCATTGTCTGTTAATTGTTGTAGAAGTTCAACTGAGTCATTCAATTAAAATAAATCATTTAACTTGTAAGATTATCAGGAAAAGGCAGTAAATTGGCACCAAGTCAAAATGCTCAAAGAGCCAGTGCAGACAGGATGGGTTGAATGGCCTCCTTCTGCACTGTAACAATTCTGTGAACAGATAGGTTTTGGTGATCTACATGTCTGTAAGGTCTTTAAATACTCTCATTATAACCTGGATCACAGAACAGCATTTCTCTTCAATTAAAGAGCTTCTCAAAAGCATAACACATCTATTTCAAGAAGAACACCGGAGTATTCTGGCATATTTCTAAGTTCACACAAACAATGCATCGAAAGAGGGTGCTGAGAGGGAAAGAGAATGAGGAAAGAAGCTGAAAGACTTGAACAGCCTTTTTTGGGGAAGAGGGCCAATAGCTGTCACCATTCAAGTTAAACTGTAATCCAAGTGTATGCAGTGTTAATAGTACATCCAAATGTAGGGGAGAACAACTGAAGTCTCACAGCAGGGTGAGGAATTGTCCTGAATGCATGCTTTAGAAAACTGTACCCACACTTGTCAGGTAACAGTGTAGAATCGGTAGACAAACAGGAGGCCGAAAAAACACAGCAAGCAAGGCAGCATGTGGAGGGGAAGTCAATGTTTTGGGTATTACCCTTCTTCAGGACTGGATGTGGTGTTGGGGGGTGTGGGAGGAGAAGAGGGTAGCGGAATGGTGGTGATAGGTGGATACCGGTAGTAGGTTGAGGGAAGGAATGAATCAGATTGATAGCTGGAATAGAAGGGAGGAGCTGGTAGATGGAATGAAAGGGAGGAGAAAGGGCTGGAAAGGAACCCAGGGGATAGTTGGGAAAGTTATTTGAAATTCCAGAACTCAATTCCCAATTTCAAATAACCTTTCCACCCGACCCCGGCTCCTTTTCCAGCCCTGCCTCCTCCCTTTCATACCACCTACCAGCTCCTCCCTTCTATTCCAGCTATCAATCTAATTCATTACTCCCATTGACCAACCAGGTCATACCTACTACCATATCCATCTATCACCACCATTCCACAACTCACACCCCTCCCTTTACCTGCAACTTCCCCTACCCCCACATCTAGTCCTGAAGGGTAATATCTGAATTGATTTCTCCTCTTCCAGATGCTGCCTGGCTTGCTGTGTTTTTCCAGCCTCCTGTCTGTCTACCTTGGATTTCAGCATCTGCAGTTTTTTGTCTAATAGTGTAGAATTGCCTTTCAGAGCAGATTCACTGGTTAATTGGCTAATTGAAGCCATTACATACGAATTCATAAGATAGCTGTGCATACCACAATTGTTTAAGTAGGATATCCTAACACAGAATGGCAATACACGTCATTCATTGTTGCTGGATCAGATTCCTGGAACTCCCTTCCTAACAATATTGGGCAAATATTTTGCAAAACCTAAGACTACATGGTGGAAGAATAGGTCCACTACATTATTAAACGTAAGCAGAAACAGGCACCGAACCCTGGCTTTAACAGCCACGTCTTCATCCAGAGAGATCCATTGAAAATTTATGGGCGAGGGAGGGAGTCGAGTTGAGTTTACGGCAGACGTATCAGGACCACAGATAAGGCACAATGCATTTTTTTTTGGAGAGAATGTGAACCTTGGTCTGAAGTTAGCGTAGGGATAGAGGTGGTCAGACTGGTACTGGGAAAGCATAAATCCAAGATCTGGTGCAGGAGGCAGCAAAATGGACAGCACATGCAATTTTTACAAAGTCAACAGGGAGCCAAATCCAGCCTGGAGAGTTGATAATGGAGGCAGAGGTAGGATGAGATGTTAAACCTGTTGTCAATACTGGAAGAAATATAAACAACCTT